GCATACAATTCTCTTTACACTTCATCTAAACCTGAATTAATTTAACTTAAGGATTTCTCCCCCCAAGGCTTTGTCTTTCATGGAAGGTACCTCGTGCAGGAATGTAGTTTTTCTCCATGGGATCCTCCTTTCTGTAGATTTAAAATCAATCACCTTACTAAGCCAACTGGAGATGAAGCACATCTGTCTGGACCCTGATCATCATCCACATGCTTCCTAAAGATGGAACAGAGGGAGGGAAAAATCAATCAATTTCTGCTGACCAAACAGAAAGGCAGACATGAAGTCCTGTCTTGCCATCTCCCAGGCAATTTAAGAGTACTTTATACCACAAAGGTGTAGCTTTTTTTTCCTCCTGTTTTCTTGGAAATGACACAGTGGCTATCACTCCATTCTCAGAGAAATATATGTACATTATGAGACTGATTTCTAAGTTTCCAGGCATATTGCTTCTCTAAATCTTCCCTACTTCCCTTTATTAGTTTCATCCCTGTTAGTTAAGTTGAAATTCTTACTGGAACATTCAGTCCAAACCCCCCTACTCTTTAGTCTTTGCATCCTTTAAATATTTACAGATGGTTTTCACATTCCCCTTCAGTTGCCATTTAGCCAGTGTTGCTCTGTATCTCTTCAAACTTAGCACCCTTAGAAGGGCACACAAGGCCAAATTCTGCTCTCAGTTACATCTCTGTAATTTTGGAGTAACTCAGCAAACTTGATAGACATTGAATTGACACAAGCAACACAGGAGCAGAAGGTGAATGCCAAAATATAAAACAGGGTATCAATCAAAACTAACATCACATCCTGTGGGTCACAGACTGCACAAGGTTAGTGCCTTTTTGTATCATTGTATTTTTTGCTGCATTCTCAGTGACTAGAGTGAAGATTTAGAAGTTGTGAACTGTAACAGCCATCAGGAAGATGCCAGTACCTACCATAGCTTCTCTGAGAAGTGAGATACAGCATATCATTGTGTGCTGGTCCATGCAGAGTGCTTGCATGATTTAACACCAGTTTAAGAGGTTTTCTATGTTACATAGAATATTTGATACTAGATACTTCATATTTCTCTGTGTGTTTCAAACATGGCACAATAACCTTGTTTTGTTCGGTGACTTTTTTCCCTATGGGTATTGATAATTACTCCAGCAGAGAACATTTCTCCACCTCTTCTCAGCCCTTCATAGGGCTGGTTGAAAACACTGCTCTATGTATATTCTGAAAGCAGAGAAACTGGCCAATGAGACCAGAACTGAGCATCACAAACTGAAGTCCACAGTCCATTACCCAATTAAAAAAATATGTCATATGGAAAGTGCGTGCCCAGAGGAAGTGCTTGCTCAAGTTGTCTCATCTTCTCCAAGCTGCATTTGGCAGAGCTTGCAACACTGACTTCACATCCTAAGTTGACTCATTTCCATGGCTTTTCTCTTTTGAAGCCTTTATTATAAAGGGTGAATGTTGTTTTTCTCCCTTTGCAGGTTATTCTGACAGAAGTGAGAAAGGAAATAGAGAACTATGAACAACCATTCTTTACCCAGAATCTGGCCTAACCTCCAAGGAATAATCTTCAAAAGAACTTGCTTCTAAATGTTGGGATAAGATTGCACCTTAGTGTTTAAATGCTATTATATCATAAAATCAAGCTCTTCAACTTCTGCAATCTGAAATAAAACTGTTTGTCCTTATACATAATAATAACAACATATTCTTCTAATTCTGTGGTCCCATAGGACAACAGCCCTGTGGTTGTTACTGACTTCTACCACATCCAGTATATAGTATGAAGTAATGAATTTATTTTTATGCAGCACTGATGGTGTGTCCTGAGAGCTCCATGAGGTAAAGATACAAGAAGAGGACAGGCATCTCTTTACTCAGCTGACCTGGTGTGAATACCAGAGAATAGCTCTGTATTTTTGGGTATAGCACTGGCAAAAAAACCCAGTAAATGAGGCATGAAAGACTAATGCTCAAAATACTATACAAGTATAAATTAAACTTTCCTCTGAGGGGAAAATGAGGTACAGATGCAATAAACTGAACAACTTTTAAGCTCACAGAAATACCAGAATGGAGTTAGAATGTGCAATCTCAGTCCTCTCAGATGGAACTGGTTGTTCTTTAAAGCCCCCTTCAACCCAAATCATTCCATGATAATTTCCTCCCTTATATTATATCCCCTCTCCATAATCACCTTCTGTGGCTTCATTCACCTCTCATACAACAGGAAAAGTTATAAAATAACTCTTTCATCATTAAGATTTTGCTGTCCAGAGTGAATTATTGCAGAAGAAAGGACCTCAGGTACGACTCCCACCAGTCTGGGCAGTGCCACCTTCTAACAGTGACATTTCTGGCACTGCAGCAGGGTAGAAGCACCTGGCCAGGGCAAGGTCTGTACATGTGTTTAACTGCCTGCATTCTTCTCCTCCTGTTTGTCACCAGTTCCCACAGAAGCAGACACACGTCACAGAGCTGGTGACAAGAGGTGAAGGGCACTAAGTAATATCCTTGACAAATCCAGACTCTTGGCATTTTTTTCCTTGTAATAACCTTAGTTCAGACTCTCTAAAGGGCACCTGCAGTTTACAGTGGTCACCATGAGCAAGTTAAAGAAGCTGAACAGTGGCATTTGCTCCTCACCTTTCCCGTAGCAAGAATTTTTTATTCAATTTAAGCCACGCATACAATTTTACACAATATTTTCAAGGCATTAAATACTGTCACCCTTTCAAGGAATCTGCACTGCATATACACAGAGAAAACCTCATGCCCATTAAGTCATTTTCTTCTTAATCTTGAATGGCTTTTCATGACTGAAACAGAATTTCTAAGGTGGCTCTACACCATAAACTGCAGACTGTATTCTACAGCTGCCAGGCACAGACCAAGGAGAAGGTACAGCTTCAGTCAGCCCGTCTCTATATTCTGCATTTCTCCAAAGACAGCTAAAATTCTGCCGTTAGCACCTCTTCTTTGAAAACAGGTATGAAAAATGGGAATATTAAATGCTCTGTCACAGATCCTCCAGACAAAGATTCTCTTTGGCAGGCTTATTCAGCATTTACAAGGGTCACACTTCAGCAAGCAGAATTAATAGTTTTCCCATACCATTCCTTCCATTTTGGCTTTCCAAAACCTCATCACTAGAGCTTGTTGATTCATTTCAGTATCAAAGACCCCAAAAAAACAAAACTGGTTCTTCTGATAACAAGTTTAGATGCAATCTGCTGAGGACTGAAAACAAATATTTCAAAAATAAAGGGCAAAAAGCTGAGTTATTTTCCTAGAAATTAGTGGCAGTTTCACCCAAGTGCTACTAAATGAAATGGAGTCTTCATGCTTTGGCAAAAATACAAGGCATAATTTTTATTACCAAAGAGTCTCAAAGTACACAAAAGATGTTTGCTTAAGAACTGCTCGTGTTCCTTGTTGGTCAATTTACTGACTGAAGGAAAATATAAAACTAGTGTAAGTAGGCAACACAGATCTTTTTCACATACAGATAAACATTACAACTTCTAAAAAGGAATAGCTCTGCCACCACACCTTTCCCAGACAGAACAGTTAGAGCACTTGCTTTTCTGGGACCAGAGTTTGATTTCAGTTTAAGGCCAGCAATGTAAAATGAGCTGTAACAGGATTAATCCAGCTCCTTCTAGAGGAATGTACATCCTTCTTTTCCAGAACATCAAATTAGGTCACATTACTTGCATGATTCTTCTTTAGAAGCTGCTGGCAGAGGAAAAGAAAGTATTTGACAGTTCAGCAAGAGATGTTTGCTAGGTCACTTACACAGCTTCCTGCAGCATGCAAGACTTGATAAAAATACTAAGCTGAGTCTGTTAATTACACAGTGACTTTACAATCATCATGAAACAGTGAATATACCTTTGGTTCTCTGTGAGAAATTTAAATTATGCAGCTTCCCCAAAACAGAGCATTTCAATCTTTGCCTTTATTAAGCTAAATAACATTTTAAAAAATAACTGTGAAGACAGAAAATAATTTGGATTTTAATTGGCTTCCAGGTTCTCCAGTTTCCAGTGCAGAATTTCAGCAGTACGTACGAAGAGGTTTCTGATTCAAAGCCAGATCTGCCAGGATCCCCATGATTCCCACAAAGCAAAACTGTGGATATGGAAATCCCACCACCTGGAAACCCTCAGCCCCACAGCTGCTTTGCTGTGAGCCCAGTGGTTCTGGCAATCCCAAGAACCCCAGTTCCTGACAGGACTTTCCCTGTCCATGAAAAAGCTGCTTCCAGCTCCTGGATCCAAGATTGCCCAGGCTGGGTGGCAAAAGCAGTTCCCAGTGTCCCTCTTATCCCCCATCACTGGGATACAGGGGTTATCTGGTTGGGGTTTTTTTGACTGGATTCAAGTTTGTCCCAAGAAATGTCATAGCTGCATCTTGAGATATCTCCCTGGCATTTTTGATTAGTCATAAAATGTTAATTAATAAGCAGCAAATTTTATCTGTATAAGTGTCCAGAACACTTTAGTGTTGCCATAAAATTCTCAATGTAAAATAAAGGAAAATAAATAAAGCAAAAAGCATAATAAAAAAGGAAGACCTATACTTAAAAATTTGTAATTATTGTCACAAGTGTGTATTAATTTTTTTAAACACTTTCACAATCTACAAAATGCAACAGGGTAAATGTTTGTGATTCAAGTCTTTCATTTTGCAGCAGTAAAATGAGGCAGTAATACATTTTATTCCATGGACACTATGACAAATTCCATTGGTTATTCTGATGTGCTCCACATTCTTCTAAAAGTCACTAAGAAAATGCAGCAAATGTTTGTAGAAGCCAGAAGACCCCACTCCTAGCATAAGCTCTTATTGCTACTACCTATGAGAATTACCTACATATTTCTGTAGATCTCTTACAAGTTATAATGAATGTCTTTCAGATAAAGGTGAGGAATTAATCATCAATCCTGTACTGAAACAAAACAAGAGGTCAAAAACAGCTGCTACCAGCCAAGAACAGACAACATTTATCTTTTATTACAACACAATTCTTGAAATTACAACAAATACCACTTTGGGGTCATCAGTCCACAGGAAAGAGACATTCTAGTCCAGAATCTCCTTAATCTCATCCTCTGCCAATAGGATACAGGTTAGTGTCCCACAGAAATCAGTGCTTGGAGGTCAGAGTCAGTGTGGAGGATACTCTGAAGATCTGTGGCAGCATGTTACTCAGCTGGTAAAACATTTCCTCTGAAATTGTCTGGGAAAAACAACAACACACAGGTAAGCTTTGTCTTTTTGTAGTTTGGAAGAATTAAGTCTCTCTCAATCTTGTTTCTTGGTATTTAAGAGAATCGATGCTGTTCAGAAGACAACAAAAATAATTTTCAAACCATGTTATAATCTGACTGAATTCAGTTAAAAGACTGACCTAAAAATACTGGCTGTATATTTATGTGACACACCCACATAACCATTTCCAGTTGATTTCTTGTTCCAGGGATTGATTACTTCTGCCAAACATAAGCAGGACTGTGCTGCTTGTTATCTACAGGACTCCTGCTCTCTGCATTTCAAGACTAGCTTCAAATTTGGAATTTATTTGTGGCTTCCTCCTTGCTCAGCAACTTTCTAATTTGTCAAGAAATACACATTACTCCTTTCCTAACATTAACTCTACTTTTACTGCTTTTCAGAACAAACCTCATGCTGGCCATCTTTGGACATCTTCCTGTTTCTGAAGATCAGCTACAACTCCAAATGAAATAATTTCAGAATCTAAATCAGAACTAACTTCAAATACCTGGAGTAATTATTTTTTTGTGAAAGCATGACTGAACTTTCTGCATTGCAGATTTCCATGTTGTTAGACAATATGACTAATAAACAACTCAAGTTATGTAACACAAGGTTAGCGTATCAGAGTAATTAACAGAAAAATGTAATTAAGTAATTAAGTAAATAATGTAATTAAGTAATAGGAAAAACAGTACCTTTTTCAAAGGTGATGAATTCACTGTTTGTAAAGGTGAATTTCTCAGTTTGAAATTTTAGCATCCTCTCTACTGGGTATTCAAAAATACTACTGGGTATTCAAAAATATAAATCAACCCTTACTCCTATTTTATAGGCAAGGAAACAAAACCAGATAGTCATTTAACTCATTCAAAAGGAGCAGGCAACTGCAAAAAAAAAAAAACAACTAGATCTGCTGACATGCGACTTTTTACCAGCAGTCTCCTAGGTTGGATAAGTCTTTGGTTTCACCTACCTGTGGTACCAGGAATTGTACAGTCCGAGAAATTCCTCCATCCCACGAGGCCATTTCCATCATGAAACCTAAAAAACCAGCATTGACACTGTCTGGAGTACCTGTGCAATACTCCCCAGCAGTTACATCATGAGCAGGCAGTGAGGGAGCTTCCACACACAAGTAGAGCTTGAACTGCCTTAATTAGGGATGGCCTCAACTGCCTTTAGATCAGACTTGGGCAATCTGAATGAAATGTAGAAATATCAAATGATGAGTTCTGCAGAATACCTACACTGAGGACAGAATTATCAGTCCATCTGTGCAGCACAGAGATACACAGCAGAAGTGAGGGTTTCTCCAAACAGTGTGTCAGTAGTTCTTTCCATGCTTCCTTTCACTGAGAAACAGGGGTGACCTCACTGTGGCCTCCCAGCGCCAGAAGGGAGCCCACAGGAAAGATGGAGAGAGACTCCTGACAAGGACCCGGAGTGACAGAACAAGGAGGAATGGCTTCACACTTACAGAGAGGAGGTTTAGATGGATATGAGGAAGAAACTGTTCCCTGTGAGGGTGGGGAGGCACAGGTTGCCCAGAGAAGCTGTGGCCGCTTCATCCCTGGAAGTGTTCAAGGCCAGGCTGGATAGGGCTCTGAGCAAGCTGGGATAGTGGAAGATGTCCCCACCTGTAGCAGGGGTTTGAAATCTTTAAGGTGCTTTCCAGCCCAAACAATTCTATGATTCTATAGGGAAAAAGCTCAGCACTCATTTACTGCTCAAGTAATGAACTACCAAAGGCCACAGGAATCCTCTTGTGGCAAATAAGGAGACTCAGAAAAATACTTGTTTAATAGAAGTGGATGATATAGACGATATATCCATGTGAACTAGAGGCCAATTACTATAGGAAGAGGTTCCTCAAGCAGGTGGTTGAAAGAAAGTGACTGGTTCAACTACTTAAGTGCAGCACAAAAAATGCAGAAAGTAAAAACACCACTTAGAAAGACAGAAAACCATGCTGAGTCATGAGGACTATTTTTTCCTAATATCCAACCTAAACTTGCTGTCAGTGTGAAGCCATTACCCCTTGTCCTGTCACTCCAGGTCCTTGTCAAGAGTCTCCCTCCATCTTTCCTGAGGGTTCTCTTCAGGCACTGGAAGGCCACAATGAGGTCACCCCAAAGCAATCCCCTCTCCAGGCTGAACAATCCCAATTCCCTCAGCCTTTCCTCCCAGCAGAGCTGCTCCAGCCCTTTAATGAATTCATGTCCCTGCTCTGGACTGGCTCCCCAGAACCACTGAGGCTCCACTCCCCTACCTTTGACGCACTTGAACACGAGCTCTGCCCTCTTCAGGCACCATGGAATGGTCATCTCCTAAATGAAGAAATAAAAAGCCTCAATGCCCCACAAATCTAACCAGCAAGAATAGGGGAATTATTAAAAGCAATACATTTTTTGCCCTAGAACATAATTTTCAAGCAGCATTTGGGACCTAGTTTTTAGAACATTCTAGGCAGGAGTACATACCTTACAGGTGACCATAAAAACACCACCACTCCTTATTGCTAGGAGAGCCAGTGTCAGAATAATATTAAACATTTTTTAACTGAGGTGTTGAATAAAAATGCTGTCAAACCCACTGGAAACTGGGCTGTTTGAGTCTCCTGTGGAGCTCCAAAAAAAAGTCTAATATTCAATTGATAATTGTCAGGTTCATGCTTCAGCAAATCAAAGGCAGGCTCCTGACCACATCTTGAAAGCACAATGATGACTTCTAACTGTTCTTGGTTCTGTTTAGTATTTCTTGGCATACCCACAACCTTCAGTAAAACCCTCCCTCTAATACTGGAACGGGAAGAGGCTCTTCCTCCTTAAGATGCATTTATGGGAAGAGTGAGAACAAGCAAATCATCTGCATCTGATGAAGGAGTTTCAGATAGCAACAGCCAGCAAATCCTTACCTAAACTTAAATAGCAAAACATGACATGAAAACCACAGTGGTTTAAAAGCACTGGGCTAAATAATTTAAGAATAAAGTTCATTAAATATTTTTGGTATGCTAGAAAGCCAGTTACACCATGATGATGGAATTCCATCAGAGACAGAATGACTAACTGCAAACACTTCTCAGGAAGAAGAAAACAATATCTGTTTGTTTCTGCTGTAATCTTCAACATGAAGATGAGCACTTCCTACTCTGAATACAGGAATATAGATGTGGAAACTGATCTATCATTCCAAGTACCTTTTCAAACTTAAGCTTTACATATTTTTCTATTCAATAAAGCCAGTTCTATTTTGAAATGTCAAACACACAGTGCAATCTGTTGTTATCAGAAAGCTTAATTTCAGGATTAAAGTTATTTGAGAGGCAAGGTAATCTAAGAATGCTCAGTGATAACACAACTGAAACTGGATGTGTGGCTTCATTAAACAACTACTGAAAGCCAAAGTTCCTCCTCAGGTGGGAGGATCTCCTGCAATCCCCCAAAATACACTCTATGTTAAAAACGGAGTAAATTTGAAATATATTTTCATAAAGCCTTCATTATACAAATCACTGCATCCCTACATGTTGCTTTTAAAGTATACAGCACATTAATCAGACAGAATAGTGCTGGACAAGTTTGGGTTTATACTTTTGTTGTGGTTGCTTTTTGACTTTTTAAATTTTTAAGCATTCTGGAAGCAACACTTGGTGTTTATTATAACTCATCTGCCCATGACTGCTTTCTGTCACAAGTAAGGTTTACACCTGGTTTTGATCACTGCTAAGAAGAACATTCTCTCGCAGGAGCACCTGAGCAATCAGTGATGGGAATTAAGCCCTAAAAAGACTGATCAACACAGCAGGATATGACACCATTCCTTGGACTATTTCAGAGGAACAGAGAGACTAAATTTTGTGGGCACTCAGGGAAATAACAATGTTGCTCCATGTAAGCCACAAGAACTGAAAATGACATAGCAGTGATTCAATTCTAATCTATCTTCACCACTAAAGTTCTCATGAATTCACCACATCACCAGGAGTTTTCTCTGGTGTGGAAATGGAGGATCAGATAAGCAACAATGCAAAGTACAGAGAAGGACACAAGAAAGCAAAAAAGCAAACAGCCAACCTCTTAGAGGGAGTTTTGAATAATAGCATTCAAGAAAGTTAAAAAAAAAAAAAAACCACCTGGAACTTCAGGTGTTTTCACTAGCAGAGACACATTAACATTTTTTCAGATGCAATCATTCTGTCAAATTAAGATTTCTTTGACTCATTTAGAAAAAAAAGGAGGGGAGGAGAGACCAGCTTCACTGGTCTTCCACATATTTTTCACAGTGAGAAAGATATGCTGCAATCCTTTTGATTTTATTTTCATTTAATTTATGACAGGCTCACTACGTGGGGCTGCTTAGGGCTTGGGCCTTTGCAGAACCATGTCATAATCAAGTAAGTAAAACAGTAAAGTCCACATACATCATGTGGAAAAATATTTCAAACTAAATTCAATGGGTAATTTCAGTAAGAATTAGCAAGGTGTTTAACTCACAGTGCATCTGTATAAATCCTAAACACTGGATGACCAGATATAAATTCAAAAGGCAGGAATCTCAGCTGAGAAACATTTGAGGTCAACACATATGTCAGTAACCTCTCTATGGACATAAACTATATTCATAAATATTTGTTACACAGTTTATACTCCTTTCATTTCTTTTTTAAAAAACAATTTTGTCTTAAATTATGGTAATAGAGACAACTAGACTGAGATCACTGAAGAGTCACATTTTTGTTACTTTGCTGTGTGGACAACAGCAATGTTGAAACTACCAAGGGAGGGTGCCAGCTCTGGCATTTTTAGCAATGCCTTGCTGTTAGAGCCATTTCATTCCCCAGTTTATAGCATATTCCAGTGATCAGTAACACCTCACTTGGCCTGAAATCAAACTTGCCTGCTTTTGCCTTTGTGAGGTATCAAATCCAATTTCTTGCCTTCATTTAATTTAATGATCAGACCAGAGAGATCTGTTTTGGTTGTTCTTGCCATAAGAAAAACAAAGGAAAACAGAATTCTTTATTTTTTTAAATAGAAATAACAATGAAATCTAACAGCCTCATTGAGATCAAGACAGTCAAACTGACAGAGAGCAGGCTTAGATTGGAGGGTGGTGAGGCCCTGGCACAGACTGCCCAGAGAAGCTGTGGCTGCTCCATGCTTGGAGGTATTTCAGGAAAGTTTGGATGGGGTTGGAGCAACCTGGGAGAGTGGAAGGTGTCCATAGCCATGGCAGGTGATGGGACAGGATGAGCTTAACGTCTCTTCCAACCCAAAGCCGTCTGTGATACTGTAATTACTTTTGTGAGGATATAAACACCACTCTTCCATCTACATTAGGAGAAAATCTTTGGAAAAAGCACAGAGAACCCTGCTAATGAATGCCTGTCCCAGGGAAGCATGGAAACATCTCTGCAGCTGGGCTCCTGGTTAACCACCCCACAAAAACGTTCTTCTGTAGGTGGTAAATGCAGAGTCAGAACTGCGGCTGCCAAAGGCACCGGGTTCAGGGTAACTTTCAGCAATCTGTCATTACTCACTTTTCCCTCAACAAGGAGTTACAGATTTGTGTGTTTCAAATCACGTCAGCCAGCTGCCAAGCACTGTAATAAGCAAGCTGCTAATGCAAGTCATACAAAGCAGCTGTGCCTTAAGACACACTTACCATCCAGCTCACTTTCTGCTTACTCTGCAAAGACTTACAGCTTAATACAAAAGGTAAATTGTTTCACCAGGATCTTTTAAGAATCCAGCACTAGACAAGAAGATAATTCTTCAGTTTCACACATCTCAAGGCATGTTGAACACTTGGTCAGGTGCTCTAGTTGTAGTTTAAAATACAGATATGCAAAGCCAGAACTAACCAGGTTTAAAGGAAACAAAACCCAGAAGAATATAATCAGGTGGCACCTTGATTAAAAAATGGTCAATATATTTAATAAATTTCTGAAACACAGCAGCTGGGTCCCAATGAGTGACCCAGGCTGCTGTCCTGCATGTTGATTACTTGCATTTGTGCCCAAAGAAAGATCTCAATACAAAAGATGAAAAATTTCATAAAAAATCTCATCTGTTCTTAAAAGTCTACTTTTATGTATGGAAATACATCCTTTAGAAGCTTCATTATTGTGTCTTTTTACCTTTTTCATTGCTTGCTTTTCATGGTAATAGACCCTGATCCTGCAAAAATGGGTGACTTCTGCTCTGTGTTCCAGTAAATTCTATTATAAAATGTGTCACTGTTAAAGGTAATCCACTAGTGAGCATTTATCTTTCTGTGAGTTAGCCACTTCCACAAAGGAAAGTCAATATTGAATCTAAAAGTGAAAAATCAAAGCGTTATTTAAAAAAGAAACCTCTCCAACAGACTGTAATTATTACTGATATCCTTACATGGATGACAGAATTATCTTCCTTTTCTCATTTCTTTAGGTTTACAGACTTTCCAGCTCTTTAGGATATAAGGCATATGGCTGTACTCCCTGCCTTCGCCACCCCTTTTCTTCTCTGTGAGCCAGTTGTGACAGAGAAAAGAGGCTGCCAATAGTTTTAAATTGCTGTGTGCTGAGAAATGTTACAGCTGATTGTGAGACAAGGCCTACATCAGAGTGCCACTACAGAAGAAAATACAAAACTCAGAACAGTTAAGGAAGAACACAAAGAGCATCAGCAATATGCTGCCTCTTACCCAGACAGTACTTGAGGGGACTTAGAGAGGAAACAGGGACAGAAATTAGGCAGTGAAGGAAGAGACAGTTCAAAGTGAAGGTGAAATTTGGTTGCTCTTGTGTAGGGCTGAGGTGGTAGAAGACTTACAGAAGGCAAAGGTAGCGTTTAGATTTACAGAACTCTAAGTCAAGCTTTGCCAGTTCTGCGGCTCCCAAAATTTAGTTTTAATGTTTACAGCTAATGATAATAAAAAGAGGGAATCTGGTATCACTACTGCATCAGCAGCTCTGAAGATAGAGTTTCTAAGCAAGAGCTTCCAGCTATGTAGTCCCATCTTCTATTAATACTTGTACCACTGCAGTGAGATGGATCCAGGAAGTGAATTGTCCAAAAGGAAGGGTGGGAATAAAAACTTCGAGTGATTCAGCTGGCTGAGATGTTTTTAATTGGTCTAGCTCCTCAATTTGGGTCACCATGTAGATACAAGTACCATGTGGTGTGGCAGAAGCCTGTGAGTGAGAAAAACCATCCCATTTGGCCTAAATCAGCATGAAACACACCACTTGCAAAAATCCAAGGATATGAAACCAGCCCATATGTTTCCATTTACTTACTTCTGACATTTCATGCACCAGCAGGAGGGGAATGCTGATGGTGGTGATGTCGTGTGTGCAGCAGACCTTGAGGATGTTCCTGAGCCCCATGATGGCCGGGTCACGGGCAGTCACATTCACAGACCTGACGTTGTCATCCACACACAGGTGAAAGGCAACGTGGATTTCTGAGAGGTTTGAGTGCCGTGTGATGTAGAACTCTCCTGCACAATAAGGCAAACCAGGAAGGCAAGAAATCATGGTAGTGATCTGTACTGAAATCCATTGTTTGTAAGCGTAAGAAAGATAAAAGGCAAATAGAAATATACAGCAGAGATGAGGACGTACACAGGAGATCTAAAATCTCTTGGACTGTCACTGTTTTACATCCATCCCACAACTCTCTCCCTTGCTTTGATGGGTTCCACTGGCATCATGGCCACATGGTGTAATAAACCATAACAGTGCCAGTACAGGATATGATCTCTATATAGCACAAAACAGAAAAACAAACCCAGAGGAGGTGCAATACTCAAAATACACAATGCAAGCACAGAATTGGAGACAGATGTGGGAGGCGGAAAGGTCAAAAAAGGATGCAGAGCCTGTGGAAAAAGATAGTGGGTTATGTAACAACTGAGATATGGCACTGGAACACAAAGGGATCAGTGACCATTAGAATTTAAAATAATTCAGAGTAGTGGGAAGGCGAGTTACAGAGTTGTTTGAAAAAAGGAACCAAGACATCTTGTTGGGGGTATTTTCAGACTTAGTATTCATTTATCAAAGGTGAGAGGCAGTGAAATCCAGGTCTCTCCATTGTTCCTTTGCACTGAAGATCTAAAGTCTATAGTACAGTCAAGGGAAAAGCAGGTGTGCAATGCCCCCGCTGTTTCAGTCAACAAATGAACATCTTCCTTCAAACCTATTCCCACTGGCCACTGAAGTGAAGATTCTGTCTTTGAACTGGAACAGCTGCAGAATGGGTCTGTACGCCTTCTGGATGATACCTAAGGAGGCAGGAATACCCAGCAGTGGCCACCTACAAGTAGTAACACAGGCCACTACTACAAGACAACTGGATTTATCTGGTCCAAGTTGATTTATAATCCACTCATACTAAAAATATTTAAGACAGTCATTAAATCAATTTTAATAAGACCTCACTCAACCATGGGTTGTATGGACTTAACTCCTCCCCCCTCCAAATGCATATTCATCTTCAAATTCAACAGCAGCTTTCCTTATTAAACATCACAATATACACAGAAGATACTTCCCCTGAGAGAGGATTTCTGAAAGTTAAAAAATCCACTCAAAATTGCTTTTCTGTACCACAGCAGTGATATACATATAGCCATTCTCAAAAACAAAATTAGCTGCTAGTACTGAAGTTTCACCTTTCCCCCAAGATGCTCAGAGTTCTTTTTTCCACCCTCAAATTCCAAAAGGAAACTTTAGGCAAAGAAGTGATTTGCCCCACACCATGTGATGCAGTGGCAAAGCTGGGAATAGAAACCAGATGTCCTGACACCCAGTTCTCTGCCTCAGCCACAGGAACATCCTTCTCCTCTGATTGAGGTCAGCTTGGGTTCAGTTTATAATTTATGTTCTGACTTTAGAGCTAAAAATATGGACATATAAAACACAATTTGCTTCAGGAAGAGGGGGTCAATGCCACACAACTCACCCGGTAAAATGTTCGACTGGTTTCGTTCAATATTCTTTAATTTATCTTCATTCCCACTGATTCTGTTTTCTGTATATGAACACACAGAACAAATATTAATCATACCCTCTATTAATTACACTCTGGCATGAAAAGGTTCGTGTACAGATATCTGGCTTGAATTTTGACCATGAAGTTAGCATAAAGTCCCCAAAATGCAAGGGGGATGGGTAGAAGAATTTTTGCTGTCTTCAACATACCCCAAACTGAATCCAACCTCAAATCCCTGCCTGTCTTACTTACCATCCCATGATATTTCTTCATTTGGACAAAAGCAAACAATATTCTCAGACATAACATGAAACTTTGGAAGTTGCCCCCACAACCACATAGTATCTTGCTATTACTTTCAATAACGTAATAAATTCAAACAAATTTGTTCCTAAGAGATTGACATAAATCAGCAGCATAAAACCAGCTTTCACCATTTCCCTTGAGATGGAGCAATACACAGGTTCTCAAGGGAAGTTTTTTTGTGTACTCACATTTGTTCACATTCCTGATGCATTTAAATCACGTAAGTAGCTCTTTGGAGCGAAAACAAAAGTTACATGATGTACAACTGCACTGCCTAAACACCATGTGGTCAGAGCATTTCCCAGCCATTTGCAAACACAAATATAAGGAAAACCATTCCCAAAGCTTTGGTCAGTACAAGAAAGCTAAATACACATTTAGTCAATTTATTTGGTTTTCAGCATTCACTTTAAAGGAAGGGGGGAAAAGTAGTAAACTCCTTTTTCTGCAATTTTTTAAGATTTAAATGTACATGGCAATAAACAGGTAAAGACAGATAAAGTTTGTGCTGCTACAGGCAGCTAAGGAAAGCAGAATGGCCTGATATACTTCCCATGCTGTTAAAATGCGAGTTTTATATGTTGATTCATTTTAAAGGAGCAGCAAAGACACTACCCGAACATCACATTCTCTGTGAGTTTCACACAGTTTCTTGATGAACCCAAACATTCCATTTTACACATTAAATAACTGCAAAAAAGTGGCATCAATTCTGCCCTGCCCACAAACATCCCACTGACCACTGTTCTATTTCAAGGAGGGTAATTTTGGTTGTCACTGACCGTGGTGTCTTTTTGTCTTGCTGCTACGCTGTGCTCTGGCCTTAAGTACAACTTTCTGGACAATTTCAAGTTGTTCTTGGATTCCAAGAAAATGGAAATCCGTGCATTCTTGGCAAACAGTTGCAAAATCTAGGAAAAAAATAAGATTGAAATGCATGTCCTGAGGTTGTGCTCAGTAACCTTATGTAATTCTACTCTACTGATCAAGTAAATCCAGCTATAAAGGCAAACTCTCCAAAAGCAGATAAAGCCCTACTGGACTCCTCTTCCAAAATTTATTGAGGATTACATTTGACAGATTGTGACATGGTTCCATACTTTCCCCTCTACTGTGGCTGCAGGTTCTAGCTAGTGGTACAAGATGCAATTTTGTGTTTAATGGCATTATTTAAATTTCTGTTTTCTCTCATTGCCTAAAATTTAGCATAAAACCAGATACTCTCCTTTTGTTATTCATTTAAATATTTAAACAGTTAAAGTACCTGCAAAATAAGTACAAGATAATACTGTTACAATTAAACTACTGGGAAACCATCAACAGCAATCAACAAATGCAACTGCAGTTTTTCCTGGTACACTTCCCTCTCCTTCTTGCTACAAGCCTGATTCCAACTTTCCAGGAAATATCAAGCACTACTGTGCATTTTTTTTAGGTCTGCAAGAACAATGGCAAGTGATAGTCAAAAAAAGACATTCCAAGCGTATTTGTCACAGCATATGCCACAGCTGAGTCAGCTGTGATACACAGAGTACCACCATACAATTTGCAAAAGCTGTAAGCATCAGCCCATACAAGTAACACCAGATAACTTCAGAAGGTTTCAAGTGTCCACCCTTCTTGTTCTATAGCCCAACCTTTTATACCCCTCACGGTTCATGCATTGCACCTGTGTGCCCTCTGTACCCTTTGGTGACTGGTCAGTGCACCTGTGCGCTCCATGTCTCATTACCTTCAATACTGGTCAGCTGTCCTGCACAGCTGTAGCCCATTGGGGATGAGGCTCCACAGCCCCACTCCCAATTACCAAGTGGGAGAGTCAACCAGGAATAAATCCTTCAATACTGGTCAGCTGTCCTGCACAGCTGTAGCCCACTGGGGATGAGGCTCCACAGCCCCACTCCCAATTACCACAAACTGTGGTGTTAAACTTCAAGACACAAGTGGGAAAGTCAATCAGGAATAAACAGAAGTTTCTTTGGTTAACCTTGATAGAAAACACCATCATAGTGCCCACTTACTCAAAAGACACGCACTTCAAATTGCTATTAATCAAACTTTCCAGGAGTAGGGAAGTCATATTCCTATTGTTCATTTTTAACGGCATTCACAGTATCAAAACAACATGGTATTTTTATATATTTACCTATCACTTTAAAATCTAGGCATATTTCTTTTTCATTTTTGCAAATAGGTTTCAGTGTGATAATCTGGTATTAAAAAGTTAGGAACTCCTACAATAAATTTGTCTAAATCAATATTGAAGGGTCCTCTCCAATATTATTTGTTACTCAGACACAAAATATAGGAAAGAGATGAGAGATAACAGCACAACACTAATCCCCATCCTCATCTCTTTTTGTATTTTTTACCCTTTTGCCGTAACATATGCAAAACATGAGTGCCCCCCACTGAATTTTAATTTTACAAATAGTATTTTTCTGTGAGAAACGACAGCCAGATTTTATTCTAATTTATTATTTTAGTCATTTTCCCTGACATGATACCTTCCATTAAAAGGCTCACCTCTTTTGATTCCGCTGTATGAGCTGATCCTGTTATCCACCAGTAACACCAGGCCACATAGGGAAGTTGAGTAGAGGGACATTGCAGTCTGAAGCCTGTGCAGCTTCACCCCACTGCGGTGATTGCGCTTGTGTTTGCAGAAATCCAACATATCAGCTCTCAGCAGCCTCAGGTTGTGCATGGTCTTCAGCTGAGCTCCTGCACAGAGCACACATGGCTTAATCCCAGTGGAAGTCTAACTTAGTGCAACATGCCAAACTCAGATTGAAATACAAGGGCACAAAGTGCTTCCCTAAAAATCTGGAAGGGAGCTGTAACCAGTAACACCCTGAGGAAGCTCTCAGCCACACATTCAGTTTTACAGACACATCAACAATTCACAAAGTAGCAATAAAAACGCAGTGTTTTCACAAAGTGAGACTTGTCCATGCCCAAAATGAGCCTTATTCTCACTGCAGAATCACAGAATTATTAAGCTTGGAAAAGACTTCCAAAATCAAGTGTAATCTGTGCCCAATCCCCACCTTGTCACCAGCCCAGGGCACGAGTGCTACATCCAGGCATTCCTTGGACACCCCTAGGGATGGGGACTCCAAACCTCCCTGGGCAGACCCTTCCAACCCTTTCTGTGAAGCAGTTCTTCCTGAGGAATACTGCAGGGCTAGGGATGAAATACTGATGTGTGGTGGTGTATCCTTTTCCCCACCCTCCCCAGAACCACAAGCTCAAACTCCTGCTAGGTCTTAGGAATTTGTGCAATGAGCTGGGTGCTGAGGCATCCCCTGGCCATCCCAGGAACTCCTGCATGGCTGAAATGGGAGCTGCATGGAGGGGATCATCAGTCAGCCCCTGACAGCCTGGAAACACCCCCTACCTGATCCATGGCCCAAGGGCAACAGCACCATTGCTGTTGGAGTTTTGGAAACTCCAGCAATTCAACCTGAGGATGAACATTTTTCAAATGACTCAAGGCAATCATCTTATGACCCTATGGACAGTGGTCCTAAGGGATATCCTTGGAGCTTGCTTGCAGCACAGGAGGCTGCACCAGCATTTCCCTCTGACAGAGATGCTCTCAGAGCTTGCAAGTTCCCAAGTTTGTGATACTGGGAGGATTGTTGCTGCCCATCTCTGCCTAGATTTTGTTATAATCCAATTTTCCTCTCTGTGTTTTATCTGTATAGTAATAGAGTGAACCTTGCCTTTGAACTTTTCCACTATTTTGCAAATTTGTATCAAACCTCCTCTAGCTGATGCCTTTGCTGATGATTTTTTAAGTGACCTAAACCACTCCTGCACAACATAACACGGTGAAAACAGCTCAAGAAGACTCTACTACACAAACAAAAATACAAATTCCAAGTATCTATTCTGCTATATACTGATCACAGGAAGTGAATTTTGTAAGCACATTTTTCTACCATATGTAAGAAAAGTCGAAGCATCATTTTTAGGCAGTATGCTTTGCTGTGCTTTTTCACATGAGTCACCCAACCAAAATGGATGAAAATTTGCTTCTAGAGTATTTTCCATTAAGATTTCCACCTATTTCAGACATTGCTTGATACAGTTTATGCTGTTCTCTTACACATGTAAAGAAAAAAAACCAAAACAACCCCAAACTATGGATTATAGACACTGAGAGCTAAATAGTGTAAATAATACATGCCTTGGACACATTATTTATTACCAGCTGTTATTTGGTTTACTCCACTTACCTAAATGAATAGTAAAGCTTTCTTCTAACAGCCTTTGCTCTTCATAGATTCTCCCATTTCCTTCCACAGATTCCCTCAGCTGGCTGGGTTGAACTTTAATTTCATCACTAAAATAATAAGAAAATGACCAAAAAGTTAATCCTAATTTTTATTCAAGACCAACAACTTTGGGAAAGCTATCCCAAGTTTTCTCAGCTGGACTGTGGAAACCAGGAGACCAAACCTATGAGCATGAGCTCCACTCAGGAGGTTTCACCTTTGCCTTCCTGGCAGCAGGAAGAGGAGACTTCACTGTTAGATTTACATTACTTGCCCCATTTGTAAAACATTCCAAGACTGAGAAATAAAAATAGGTCACAATACCTAGCTATAACATAGTAAGAATGCAGGAATAAAAGGAAAATAAAAAGAATTCTCTTCAACCTATTTACAGCAGCCAAAACTCAGGAGGTTTCACCTTTGCCTTCCTGGCAGCAGGAAGAGGAGACTTCACTGTTAGATTTACATTACTTGCCCCATTTGTAAAACATTCCAAGACTGAGAAATAGAAATAGGTCACAATACCTAGCTATAACATAGTAAGAATGCAGGAAAAAGGAAAATAAAAAGAATTCTCTTAAACCTATTTACAGCAGCCAAAATCTAATTTATGAAGTTATTACATAAAGCAGTTCTTTTTTTCTTCCCAGACAAAAGACGAGATTAAAAACCACCTTATCAAATGTTCCACAGTGTTCATACTACCAGGAAACATTTCAGGTATCAGTTTTAATATTTTCCCTAAATTCAACTGTCTGGTAGAAACAACAAATATTGTTTCTAATACATGAAAGAACAGCATCCAATTTGTTTCTGCATTAGTGAGGCATTTCTGTTTTCAAAGTGCCTCACCTCCAAAAATCTCTTATAAGCTTGCAAGCAATTCTACCGATTTCAACTGTCAAGCAGCAATGTACTAGTGATAAAGAATAAGGATCCCACCCAACTTACAAATTCTAAATTCCCTGGCATTTCCTCAAACAGAGGAAAGCTTCTCATTCAACTCTCTCCACAAGTGCTCACGCTAAAAAATTCCATTTTTTAAGCTGTCCAGTGACAGACATGAAACTAAAAAGAGGCTTGTTAAGTTAAACCCTTGTTACAATTTTTTAAAGTACCATTATTCTCCAGAACATGCTTACAAGATAAGAGGAAGCTTTGTGAAACTGTCAAAGACACTGACATAGGAGAGAAAGGCAAAATAGGAGGAAATTCCACTCATGTCAAGCTGTACTTTAGTGCATTACAACACTTTCTGGTACAGAGAGGTTGTAACATCACACAATGAAGAAACTCATAAAATGATACATATTTCTTTGTGATGGTCTATTCACCTTTGATATGCTTTGATTATCCTATGCAAATTATTTACAGATATGATAACATCATAATAAATAGGACTATAGCATCCTATTTAGAAGATTATGCAAACGCAAATCCTTTGAACTATTTCAGCTGAAATTAAGCATCACAGAGGAATTAAATACCTGACTGAGCTGTTGTTAGGATTCTTTAGGTCCTGATGAAGCTTTATCACCCACTCCTGATATTCCTGCTTCTGGATAGCAGTAGTCTGCTTTAATTCATTGGTCCATTTGTTCTCCAAATCCTGACAAAAGAGCAGTGATAGTTTGAGTGGTGTGGGTGTTCTTTTTAAGGTGATTATGTGCAGGACACATTTTAGTTACCTGCTGAGACTCAAAATGCTGAGCTGCTAAGGAATTCACATCCTGGTCAGTCAGTGACTTCCCAAGCTCCTGCATCACCTTATCCATTTCAGCCCCTTGCCTGAAAGAGAAGCAAACACAGATTTCAGAAGACTGGCAGCAGAACACCCTTTGCTGTGATACAACAACAGATTTGGTTGTTTGTTACTGTCAGAATGAACAGTCACAGATTTAGCAATGAAAATCCACAACACAAACTGGCATTAAGGGTCAGGGACACAAGTCAGCTCCTGTATAAACGGAACACCACCTACCCTCATTTGGGACAGTCTCAGCTGCCACCAACACAGGGACGTGATAAATTCCAGCAGAGTCAATACACAGCTACATTACACCTGAGCTCTATCAATAACACTGCTCTTTCTTCTGTATGCATACTTGAGAAGAGGCAATAGCAGCAAAAAGATTTGCTAACACCTTACTGGCAACATTGACCCCCAAACTAGAAATATTTATAATTTGGTCCAGAAGAAACCATAGCACAAACTGATTATGCACTGTCTAATGTGAGTTTAAACACACACAGCTCAAGAGGAATATTGCTACTGAGAATGCTAAACCAGACCTACTGAAATTACTCTGGCACAAAAAGAAAAATCCACACTCAACATGTTCCCTCTTGTGGATAAAGGAGCCACCTGCAGCTATGCAAGCTTATGGGAGAACTCTGGGCTCAAACTTAACACAGCATACTCTGCAGTCAGGACAGCCATGACTGTACCATGATACACAGAGCGTCACCACACAACTTCAAAGAGGTTCACCCATACAGAGCAACATCACACCAGAAGGCTGCAAGCATCTTCTCATCTTGCCTTTCAGCCCAACCTTTTATACCCCTCACCTTACATGCACTGCACCTGTGTGTCCCTCTGGTGACTGGTCAGTGCACCTGGGCACTCCATGTCTCATTACCTTCAATATTGTTCATCTGCTTTTCACAGCTGTAGCCCATTGGGGATGAGGCAAAACAGCCCCACTCCCCATTTCCACAAACTGTGTGCCTACACAAACTCAACGCTTTCTGAAAATCAAAACTCAAATTCTCCTTAGTCATTGAAAATAACAGAAGGCCACCAAAGTAATATAAGGTAGCTGACCCTAATGACATCATAGAATCATGGAATGGTTTGGGCTGGAAAGGACATGAATGTTCATTTCATTCCAACCCCTGCCATCAGCAGGAACACCTTCCACCTGACCCAGACTGCTCAGAGCCCCATCCAACCTGTCCTTGGACACCTCTAGGGATGAGGCAGCCACAGCTTCTCTGGGCAACCTGTGCCAGGGCCTCACCGTACCCTGAGTAAAGAATTTTTTTCCTAATATCCAATCTAAATTTTCACTCTTTCAGTTTGAAGCCATTCCCCCTTGCTCTAAATACTCTTGTGCCAGCCAAGTGTTGTCTGACTTTGGGTTTACACAGACAAATATAAGCTACACACATTGTCCTATGAGTTTACACACCCAGTGGCATGTACCCCTATTTAATAAGAGAAAGGAAAACCTAAATAAAAAAAAAAAGTAATACCTTTCACGTAGCTTTTTCAGTTCCACGTCCCTTTCACTTATTAATTCTGAAATGCTAACAAAATAATTGTGTTCCAGGTTTAACAGCATTTCAGAAGCTGGAGAATGGATCAGATCATGATAAACATCTGCAAAATCTTCATCCCAGCTGGTTTCTTCAGGTTTGGCATGTTCTAATGTTGTCTAAAGAAAATGTAAGAGATTTTAAAGGATAAGATACCTCTTAGGACATATCAAGATCCCTCATAATGGTGGGGTAAAACCATGGGAGCCCCCACACACAGCCTGTGCCATACATAAATTATCTTCCCTAATTTAAGCTTCCTGCATTCTACTTTAGCTTTCAATTTTCTCCTCTCCCATTCTTTCTCTTTCAAAGCAACTAAAGCCAGAATCATTAAGGCTTGGACTACAGTAAGGAATTACCAATTTTCACACAACACCAGCTGGGAAAGAAGAGCAATATCCACAATAATATTTGCACCTGATGAATTTTAGATAAGGCCCAGAACACCAGCTGTACAAACAGAAATGCTTTGCTAGTGAGGATGACTAACAGCTGATGTCACTAAGAATTCCATCAACACCACTTATTGAAGAAAGGCTATTTTTATTCAACAAAGAACAGCCCAAAAATGCCAGTTTTGCAAACCCTTTATGGAATTTTCCACATTTTTTCTGTATTTCGTGAGAAGAAAATTCAATTCCTATTAACTTTTCTTCAGATGCTGCAGGTTCGTCATTCATTTTTTCTTTTCAGTAGGACTCCTCCAGCTCTTTTGCACTCCACTACTTTTAAGATCCCATGTGAAACTGGAGACATTATTCCAACTAAAGCCTCATCCTTCTTAATTAATATGAAATAGTAATATGAACCCAAACAATGAACTGAAAAGTCTCTCTCAACTATACACTTTCTCCTTCTAACCTTAATTGCTGTTACTGAGATTTAGGATAGGAGTGTCACTTTATTACCTCTTGCTTTAATTCTAAGCTACTATAAACCTTACACCTATGTTTTGTTTGAGTATCAACTGTTGAATGAACAAACCTCCATTTTTGCCTCTCCATTTTCTATCTTTCTACTTAATTAAATTTAAGAAAAACCTGACTAAGTACTTGTAGGATGAAGACTCGATGCTCACTTTCAGATACAAAGAAAAATCTGCAAGAATTGCAGTGAATTTTAGTGTAATATTTCATCCTCACAACTGTGATTGCACATACAGACATACAAAACAAGCCTTGAATATTAACTTTCCAGCCTTATTCTTACCTCTTTATATGCTTTAGCCCAAGTATCTGCCAGCTGGTTGATGTCTACTTTTCCTGATTTCACTGCTTCCAGAGCCACTTCAGCTTCTCTGTCATAATCTTTTATGGTTTCCTCTTCTACAAATTTACTAAGAGATTGCTTCAGGTCTATTTTGTAACAAGAAGAAAATGGTCCATCAACAGAACACATCAACAATCACCCACGAAACCTGTAAGTAAAACCTTTTCCTTGCTAGCACTGACAGTAATTTTCTCTGATGTTTTGCTGTTTAAAAAACCAATTTTGTAAACACTGTTCCAGTAAAACACTGTTCTTTTGGTTTCTTAGAGCAAGCTGTAAGATACTTGTGGGCAAGGATATGTGAGATTAATTTAAGAAATCAATTCATACCATTTTCTATAAAGCATGGCAGGTTGTGCAGAACCATCAGACGTCCATGCAAATGACTGATATTCTCTTGCACAGGGAATTTGAGAGGCACGGTAATCACCAAATGTTCATTTCCAGCACTGAATTTGTACACATAGTCTCTCTCTCTAGTTAAAGTCTTTCCTTTATTAGGCTTCATCCTCTTGAGTTTGTTTCCTGCAACAGAAATGAAAGTAACAAGAATTACATTTTCGTAAAATCAGAAGTAAAAAATGGTAATGAAAAGCCATGGCTTTGCTAATAATTAACAGCCAAAAATACGTAACCCCCCAAATTTTCATAGATACTCAGTTTTGACTTCCAATACATGCATCTGGAACTGAAGCATAAATACCAGTTTCCGAAATATCAAATGCCTCTAAAAGGTATTTGAGTGGGTCAATATATAAATGTGGGTAATTGCTCTTAAAAATTACAGCGTAAATCTCCTGACTTAAAAGCAGAAGCAGGGCAGATGGGAATCCTGATAAATAGAAAATTAACCAAAACACTCTGACTTCTGGTCATGGATGCCTCAAAAGCTGAAATCCTGCAGAGTGCACACAGATTTTATTTCCTCCTTTCTGCAGGTGCAAGGCCTGGGGAGTGGGGGAGCAGATGTTTGCCACGATTTTTAGAAAGAGCTGATTCTGTCTTTCTGTAACCTGCATTAAAAATAAGCCAAAAGAGATGCAAGGGGTAGAGTGAAAATACAGGCTGGGACAACCGTGCTGGTATTTTTACCCTCCACAAGGCTCCTCTGCTCATTCACATCCCCCTGTTTCGAACACCACCTACAAAGCTGGACACATTGACTCAGCCGAATCCTCCCCAGTGCTAAAAACCACACCCCGAGGGAAACACGGGTTTAGGTTTTGGTGGGTTTTTTGTTGGGTTTTGGGGGGGGGGGTGGATTTTTCTGTGAACAAACATATGTGTTAGACACAGACGAAACAAGTCAGTTTCAAAAACATCTCAGGACAACCAACGCGAGGCGGTGTCACGGCCTCTATGGGAGTGGGATTCAAAGGGAAATACTGGGAAACACAAACCCGACCACGCTCTTTCTGCTGCTCCCCAATGCAGCGAGGAGGTGGGGAGGAAGCTGATAGAAAGGGAGCGGGGGACAAACCCCCTGTTCCAAAGAGGACCTGAAATCGTAGGCTCAAAGCCGACAGAACATGGCCTGTGGGAGTCCATCCGCCCCCTCCCAGCCGCGGGGAGCTCCCGGTGTTCGCATGCCCTCCGCTGGAAGCGGCAGCGCCCGCGGGCACCGGGAGCCTCCCGGCCGTGCCAGCCCGTCCCGTCCCGGCTCACCTGGCTCCGGGCGGGCAGCCGCGGGTTAACCGAGCCTCGGGGAAGGGGGAGCCGGGATGTTCCGCCTACCCGCTCTCATCATCGCAGCTGCGCGTTCGCAGCGGCACTTTCGGCGCTGCGCCTGTAGCGAAGGCGCCAAGCGGCGCCGGCGGCGGTGGGGATGGCGCGGCCGGTCAGGAGGTGCGTATGCCGGGGCTGAGGGACGAGGGACTCGCCCGATCTCCTCGGCGGGATTCCAGGGTGGCCTCTATCCCTTCCAGCGGAGCGGTCGTGATCAGTGCCACAGGGCCGTGCTGGAGGCCTGGCATTAGTGGTGTCCTGCAGGGTTCTGTCGTAGAATGGTTTGCGTTGGAAGGAACCTTAAAAACCATCCGGTTCCAACGCCCTGCCACGGGCAGGGACAGCCTCCACTATCTAGGTCGCTCCGAGCCTCATCCAGCTTGGCCTTAGATACTTCCAAGGATGGGGCAGCCACAGCTTCTCTGGGCAACCTGTGCCAGGGCCTCTCACCAGCCCTCACAGGAACAATTTCTTCCATATACCCAATCTAAATCTCTCTGTCAGTGTGAAGCCTTTGGCCCTTGTCCTGTCATTCCAGGCCCTTGTCAAGAGTCTCCCTCCATCTTTCCTGTGGGTTCCCTTCAGGCACTGCAAGGCCACAAGGAGGTCACCCCAAAGCCTTCTCTTCTCCAGGCAGAGCACTCCCAATTCCCTCAACCTTTCTTCCCAGCAGAGCTGCTCCATCCCTCTGATCCCCTTGGTGTCCCTGCTCTGGCCTGGCTCCAGCAGCTCTCTGTCCTTCCTGTGCTGGCGTCGGGGCTGGATGCAGCCCTGCAGGTGGGGTAATACTGGGCTCAGTATTGTTTAAATTGCTCATCCATGATTTGGAAAAAGGGTTTGATGTCCCCTCAGCAGTTCACAGATGACAGAAAGCTGGGAGGAGTGGCTGATACCCCAGAGTGCTGTGTAGCCCTTCAGAGGGACTGGAAAGGTTGCAGAGATGGGCAGAGAAGTGTCTAAAATTCAACAAAGGCAAGTGCAATATTCTGCACATGGGAAGGAATAACCCCACACATCACGAACTTCTGTCCTGGGCAGTGACCAAGGACTGAACAGATTGTCCAGAGAAGGTGTGGAGTCTTTTTAAAAAATCTACAAGTTTTTCCTTGTTGAGATCAGCAGGAGAAATGCGGTACACAATATGAGTGATCAGCAAGTCTCAAAAGTTTATTGAATAGGCACACATATTTATATTAGTATTAATAAGGCTAATGCATATTGCAAAAAGCGAGCTCATTATTGGTTAGTTGCTCATCAGCTAACTATGCCTACTTCTACATTCTTGTGGTTACTCTGTTGTGGCTTTTCTTATCCTTTCTTCACTTTTCTAGCTAATGAACTTCTCCCCCATGCAGCTGTTGCAGCAGGGGCATAGTGACCTTTGTCAGCTAGCCAAGTGTCCACAAAATCCTCTACAATTCCTAATAAGCCATTGTGTACAGTTGCACTGGTTGTAGATTTAGCTCTGCTGTCTGTGTCCCAGGGACTCAAGGAACAGCTGGAGCTTTGTCAGGGGACAGTTAGGGTGGATATCAGGAAAAGGTTCTTTGCCCAGAGGGTGGTGGAGTACTGGAACAGGGGATGGTCACAGCCCCAAAGCTGCCAGAGCTCCAGGAGTGTTGGGACAGTGCTCTCAAGGATGAACTGTTTGGTGTAGGGTAGAACTGTTGGGGTGTCCTGAGCAGGGCCAGGAGCTGGACTGGATAATCCTTGTGAATCCCTTCCAACTCATGGATAATCCATGATTCTGAGATTGTGTCCACCTGAACATGTATTGCTATTTTTTCCCTTGTAAAATATGATCTTCCCAAAAGTGTTACCAAATCAAGATGCTCAGTCAGAAAGGATTGATAGCATATATATTTTTTTTTTTAATTTTTTTTTTTTTTTTGCCACAGGAACAAGAAAGTTGTTGATTATTCTGAGTTTGGGGATTTGGAAGATGATGGTAAGTGGGGTGTTCTTGTACATCAAGAATTTGAAATCATTGCCTCTCACATAAAAGTACTTGTAAAAGAGGGTCTGTTGAATTTTCATTTTAAATACGTTTAAGGATAGTGCAGTTATAGTTGTTGTGTTCTTTTAAAATAGGATTAGTTTCCAGAAAATGTTATCTTGATATATTTTCAGTGTGCAATGAAAATTATGAAATTTTAGGAATATAGGAAAACTCAAGAGAGCTTGTTGCTGTTTTCTAACAGATGAAGACTTTGCACCTTCAAGCAAAAAATCCCGAACACAGCTCAAGGAATCAAAGAAGGAGAAAAAAGAGAAGTCAAAAAAGCTAATAGAAGTGACTCCATCACAGACACAGACACTTAGTAAGAGGTAAGAAATGTTCTGGTCAACTCTGTGTAAAACTGGATTTCAATAAGAATGCTTCAGTTTGATTTCTTTTCCCCTAGAGTTTTAAGCAGCTGAGTACAATCAAGTAATACATGACTGTAATAAAGATTTTGAGCTGTATTAATGCACTTTCAAATAACTCTAAAAATTCTGAGTTTCTTAGGGACTCCTAAACCAGAGAAACATAATGGCAAGTTTGATTTCTTTGGAAAGAACATACTTAAAGAAAGATACAAAGTCAGTGTCAATGAAAATGAGAAATCTAATTTTTATTTGTAGAGTTGTGTTTAAATATTACATTTTGGTGTGGCATTTCAAGCAAAGGCAATCACTTTTTTTTTTTCCTGCAGTAATGCCAGTTAATAGTTCATATATTTAGATATATGTATATATATGCACACATGCACTGTTTTACAATTATAATGCTTTAAAGTATAGAGTGCTTTAAAAGTTAGTGCATTTTGTCTAAATAATTTCAAAATGTAACATTTGTAACAAGATGTGCTGTAAATATGTATTGAAATATTAATCTCTTCACAAGTACCTACATTTTAAAGAGTTCACTGAGCCAGAAATAGTTCTGTAACACTCATGTAATTGTTTTATTATTTAATATGTTGTCATTTTTTCCCTAGGTTATCCTTGGATGAGAGACTTTATAAAAGAGATGTGGAAGTTGCCTTAGCCTTATCAGTCAAAGAAAAATCTGCAGATCCTCAAGAAGTGCAAAATTCAGAAGAACAAGGTTACTTTACAGTTCCATGCAACATTCTTTATTTATATGCAGTGAATTTGACCATGGGAATTTATTTTACCCTGAAATAGATTGAAAATTGTATTTTATTTCAAGATGTCATGACAAGAGAGACTTTCTAGGTATTGCCTGTTTTCTTATGTTCTTGGGCTTTTTTTTCTGTGAGAAAAATAACTCTTCTATAAGATTTTCCAAATACATACTTGGATTAGACACAGTTAAAAACTTCAGCTATTTTAATTTCTTGCTATTTTTACTTTTTATAATGTGGTTTTTATAATGTATTTTTACTTTCTATAATGCGTTTTTATAGAGTATTTTTAATCTTTTTCCCTGAATCTTAAAACAGGTAAGAATATTGAATCAGAAAATAGACAGAGGAGACCCCCTTTTTCCAACTGCAGTGTAGACAGTGAACTTTTAGGTAAGTTGTTTTTGCACTCTTCTCACAAAAAACATTTAAGTACCTTGTCTCTTTTTTGTTTCCATTGGTTTATCTTTTTTTTTTTTTTTTTTTTTTTTTTTTTGTTATGTGGAAAAAAGGGTCTTTATCTTAAATAACGGTTGAAGGATGTGTAGATTCTTTCATTAAAAACTTGGCCCCAGTCTTAAAATGAGCAAACCTGTGCTTGGTTAATTTTTGGTCTTCATTTTGTTCGCCTGATTACAGATAAATGCTGATAAATTTGACAATGAAAAAATAAAATGAGAACCACATGAAAACAGGCATCAGTGATATGTTTCTGAACAGTATGACTTCATATCACCAAAATTAATTCTGGGCACTCAAATACCAAATTATTGTAGAGGAAGAAAATAGATTTACTGTGAATTTCAGCTGATTGAATCACTTTCTGTTTTGCAGGTCTCAATCAGGTTATAGATGATGATGCACCTGAGGGTGATGGGAGACAAAGGACAGCAGCAACCAAAGGTCCAGCACATCACAAGTCACTGGTGGTTGACAGTGATGACAGAGCCCATGATCCTGATTCTGAGCCAGGGTCTGTACCCAGTAAGTTCTTCTCTACCAAAACCACATCCTTAGATGTGCTTTGGATGTGATGCCTTACATTTAGTTTGGATTTTTAGTGAAATTCATGCTGCTTTGACTGCATTTTCCCTTACTCTCCCCTTACTGAAGCATTATCCCCTCATACTCATGACATCTCATTTGCACTTGGACACTAAATTTACTCACTGGAGCTTATTCACTCCCAGATCAGCAAAATGTCACTGCTTCTCTGCATTTGTGTGTCAGGAGAAATTCCTTCTGCCCTCCTTGTACAGGAAAGTTTCATCTCTTTAAAGATCCTCTGTTCATTGTTGCAGTTGTTTTCTGGGGTTTTTGTCAAAACAGTGATTCTGGAGTAGTGTCAGGTGTTGGAGCTTTCACTGTTGGCTTTGTTTAAGCTTATTTTAAAAAGCAAGTAAGCCTTCCTTCTTTCCTTCCTGTGAGTGCCATCTTTTGGAAGAGCAAGCTGCATCCATGTCTGTGTCATTCCCTAACAGGCAAGGTGTCTGTGTAAATACTTAGTGCTTCAAGATGGGACAGTCTAGTACCATCCTCATTATTTCTGCTGTCCATCATCTTAAGTGATGATTTCTCTGCTAAAGAGCATCTTTCTATAGTAATTATTTTCCATCCCAGCTTCACCTATAGTTTCTCCTTCCTGGATAATGGAACACAACTCTGAGCCAAGGCAGAAGGTGATGTCCAGTCCCTTGGAAGCAGCTGGGAAGCCTCTACATGCATCAAGTCCTGTCACAGACAAAAAGCCTAAATGGACACCACCAGGTATGGGTGAGGCTGCAGCTGTAGACACATACATGAGTTGACTTAAGCTTTTAGCAATCTCTCCTAAAAGCAAACAAAAACTATTCCAGGGAAATGCTTGCCCTTTATATACATTTTACAGGGATTTTCTTTGGACAGATTTAAAACAAAAAAGAGAGATGGGAAGAATAGCTATATCTATATTTAATTTGCAGCATTATTCTTAACTGCTTTACAAAATGTTTTCCAAACTGTGGATCAGACCTTAATCAAAAGATTCTTTCCATGTCAATTTCTCTCTTATTTAGAGCTTTCTTTATTTCTGGTATGTGCTAAATTATTATTATCTGTTCTAAACAAAGAATATTTTAAAAATGCTGAAGTATTTTAGCTGCTCTAATAAAGCAAATGCTTAAAAGCTTTATTTTCTCAAGGTGTTTGAGCATGCTGCTGCTGACTCCTGATTCTTTGATTTTTCTTCATATTTGCTCTTCTCTGTATGTGGTTCTGTTTGGCTCCTTTCTCTCAAGTCCACGTTTCCCCATTGGAGTTGTGTGCAGTATTTCTCTGTGGAGTGCCTGAAAATGCCCAGGACGCTGGGAACAGCTGCCCAGTGTTGCTGCAGTGTGTGGCTGGGTAATTAACCTGTGCAACATTCCTGCTGCACTGGCTCCCAGAGGAGGAATCCCTTGGGAGTGATTTCCATGTGCCCTGTGATTTGGACCTTTTTGCACTCTCTTCAGAAGGCTTCTTTTGTCCTGCTAGGAAAACTATTAGAAGACAACAGTCATATGATCCTTTTCCCCCCTTTAAACTTCTAATACCTTTTTGTTTTAAAATCATCTCCAGCTCCATCAGGAAGCAGTAATGTTTCTGTGAAATGTGTTCCTGTTAAGCCACCTACTCACTGCCTAAGACTTGGCCTCTCCAGACTGGCAAGAGTCAAACCTCTCCATCCCAGTGCTACCACAAGTTAAATGGTCAGTGACAAAGTGCCACACAGAGGAAAAGACTGTGGAAAGGGTTTTGCTGATAAACAGACAGTGGGCAGCATCCTGGAATCATCCACTTTGGAGGACTCTTATTATGGATGTGTCTGATGTTAGGATGAGTTTTTATTCTGCAAATTGCTAGGCATTTTTTAAGTGCTACTGAATACTAATGTTGTTTAATCAAAATGACATCTGGCCACCAGCTTTTTGATGTATTATATTCAGAGATGTTGGTTTGTCATAATTTTAATTCTTTAATACCTACAGTCTTGGCATTAACACAGTCTAGACAGCACTACGGCAGTATGATGATAGGGAAATGTTTTTTAGAATGTTGTGTTTTTTGAGAAAAACTAAAATAAAATACTTTATAATGTCTAACTGTATTCCTTAAATGTATTAATTTTGAAGGTCACTTTAAATGTTGGTTGCAGTCTGGCAGATATTTTTGCCTGTGTATGCTCTTACTGGAAGTCAGCAGCATTAGTGTGAGTGTCCATCTGAAATTTCCCTTATTCTTTGCCTCTCGATCGTCATGAAAGTTTGAGACCACCGGGAAAAGGAAAAGATCCTGTTCTGAAAATCCAGGTCTGACTGATCCACCAAGCCAAATACTGTCTACGGGTGTGTACGACTCGTGGAACACTGCACCCGAGAAAGGGCAGTGTGCTCTCCTTCGCCTGCATCACTTAGCAACGCTGGCCCTGGAATTTCTCCACCCTCCTGACTTGGCTGGACTTTCTCTCTGGAATGACCTTCTCGGTGGTCACCACAAAAGACCCTCCATTCACCGTACATCAATCACTGTGACAGAGAGGGAGAAGGTTCTCCCCTCAAGGACTGAGACATGCCACCCCTACATGGAAAAGCCTCCTCTTCTTCCCTAAAAGACTGAAACTGAAATCCCTATCATGGGGTGGGGGAAGGCGTGTAAGGCCCGGTGACCAAAGCAAGCTTGCAAGCGACCACTGGACTGAGAAGACAATGGTTCTTGCCTGCTGCTGATGGACTTTCTGTACGACGCCTACTGCTGACGACGCCTTCTGCTGCCGGACTACTGGTACACAAGGAGATCTCCGCTGACGTGAAGACGACAGGCTCTTCGTCGACTGGACTTCGAGGGACTTTGTCATCTGCATGTCTGGTAGCTATACACCTCCTTTCTCTTCTCTCTCTCTTTTATTCTTTCTCTTCTCTTCATTCCTCTTCTCCCTAATGCATTTTTGCTGTAGTTATTCAATAAAAGTACTTTTGCTTTGATTTTACTGCAAAATCCCCTTGTCATGTCAGGTTTTGCACCCTGAGATTAGTGAAAAGAACCTTCACGAATCTTGCCCCCCAGGACGGATTGTGACAATTAGTCAGGCTCAGACAATGAGGAATTGCCTTGGAGCTCTGGGGGCTTCATTGAGGATCATGATACCATGCTAAGGTAGGGGTTTTGTAAAGCAGTGAAGTGATTGCTACTGATTAATGCAACTGAGCTTTTACTAATCCACAGTGTCAGTAACTTCCTATCTAAGCCTACTGATTACAGTGAATGGCAGCAGATCCATTTCTCCATGTATTACTTGTGACTAAGGGAATTGCATTAACAAAGGAATATAATAGAATCATGGAATGGCTGGGGTTGGAAGGCACCTTAAAGATCATCCAGCCCCAAACCCCACCATAGACAGGGGCACCTTCCACTATTGCAGGTTCCTCAGAGGCTCATCCAGCCTGGCCTTGGACACTTCCAGGGATGGGGCAGCCACAGCTTCTCTGGGCAACCTGTGCCAGAGCCTCACCACCCTCACAGGGAGCAATTTTTTCCTAATACCCAATCTAAACCCACCCTGTGTCAGTGTGAAGCCTTTGCCCCTTGTCCTGTCTTCCAGGCCCTTGTCAAGAGTCTCTTTCCATCTTCTCTGTAGGTTCCCTTCAGGCACTGCAAGGCCACAATGAGGTCACCCCAAAGCCTTCTCTTCTCCAGGCTGAGCACTCCCAATTCTCTCAGCTTGTTCTGCTAGCAGAGCTGCTCCATCCCTCTGACCCGCTTGGTGTCCCTGCTCTGGCCTGGCTCCAGGTGCTCCCTGTCCTTCCTGTGCTGGCCCCAGGGCTGGATGCAGCCCTGCAGGGGGGGCGGGGCAGAGGGGCAGAATCCCCCCTGCCCTGCTGCCCTGGGGCTCTGGGTGCAGCCCAGCACAGGGGAGTTCTGGTTTGGGGCAGGGCCAGCTCTCACCCACAGCACCACCAAGTCCTTCTGCCAGGGCTGCTCCCTCTGCTCATCCCCAGCCTGGATTGATCCCAGGTACAGCATCAGCACATGGTCCTGTTAAACCCCATGAGATTCCCATGGACCACTTCTGCAGTGTCCAGGTACCTCTGGACAACATCTCATCCTTCAGGTGTAATCCATGCCTTTGCAAAGCCTTCTATTAATGGTTTCACTGATTCCTTGCAGATTGGTTGTCTGTTTGCTCCTGATGCATTGTCAATCAGGTTATCATAAGGCAAAGATCACTGTTCCAGCTTTCATTATTTCTGAAGAAAACAGAATTTAGTTTTGATTCAGAACCTCTTAAGAGTGTTACTATTACCTTCTGTAATTCAAAAGATCCAAAACCTTAATTTCCCAGGTCTATATTGGTTATTCTCAGATATTCTGTTAATAAGAAAATTTGTATCCTTAAAGTGGCTAAATAATAAAGATGTATCTTAATGCTTATTTAGAGACATGGGATTTAATAAGGGAAACAAATCTTTTCCCATTATTTTTCTTAGAGAAACAAAAATGCCCAAATGCCATTTCCTGAGATCAGCTGCATCAGGAAGTCCATAAACTGCTCTTTAATTTTTAGCAGAGGGGTTGGGTGTAATTTGCTCTGAGCAGATAAATTTATTCTGTCTTTCATGTCAGATCACTTTCATTGTCCCAACTTTCGTTAACCCAACAGACTCGAAGTGTATCAGTGCAAACCACAAAGATGAAAACAGGATGTTAACACTTCTGGTAACCCTCTGAACAAAACCCTGCTCTTTGCATTTAAAACACTTTGTCCTGCTGCTTACAAAGAATTTCTGTTCTGTCTCCACTCAGGTGTGACATTGTTCTCTTGAGAAGTAGCCAAAAAGCTGTGATGAAAAAAAAAACCTTTTTTGGGTCAAGGCTGTTTCTGCTGTGCTGAATCTGTCTTCACACCTCCAATATTTATAACACTTGTGTACATTTAAATGAAGACTTGGACCATGAGTTTTTCCTGTATATTTGGGATATTAAAAAACTGAAATTTCTTTTTTTTTTTTGCATTTTGTATTTTTCCCCATTGTTTGGGTTTTTTTAGTGTTATTGAATGTAACTCAAAATTTAAAGGTTAGTTTTTTCTAGCCTCAGCTGAATAAGAACATGGAAGGACTTAACTGGCCTCGAGTGTAAAAGAATCTACATGGTCCTTAGTGTATTAAAGCTCTGTTTAATGCTCACACATCTCAATTTCTTCTTTTTCATACTGACAGCCCTTGGGAACATTTACAATACTCCAATGTACAAAGAAATCATGAGAAACAGAACTGATTGAAACCCAGATATTTATCTGCTTGGTGATAGACCATCTTGTAGAGCAGATTCTCTTTCTGTTTGCCTCCTTGAAGAGATGGGAGATTTGTTACACATTTTTTTTTGCTTCCAGTAAATCTGAGTAAGTCTTGCTTTCATTTTATTATCTTTGCAGGATTCATTAAGCTGAAGATTCTAAAGAGTTATAATCAGGCAGTTTTTTCAGAAATACCTTGTCAACCCCATCCCAGCATAAAGGTTAGTAGATAGGTGCATATTTTTTAGAATGTTAAGTCTGTAACTATGTAGGAAGTCAACATTAGAGGGCATAATAACATCAAGTTATCATTCCAGTGCCATGGAGCTATGTAGCTATCACTTGTATTTGCAAAGTGTTTGCATGTCAAAGGGTCAGATGACAAGTGTGAGCATAGTATCAAGAACAGAAAAACAAAAAGGAATTTAATAAGCCTTAACTATCTTAACTTTTGTCAAGTATTATCAACAACACAGCCTCACTGTAATACATTTTCACAGATCAGTGACTTATAATGTTAGTAGGTATTTCTTGCATTATATAATTCAGTTATAAGCTTTAACATACAAAAGTTAGAAGTTCTTCTCCAGATGTTTGCTATAATTTTTCTTGAGCATAAGTTAGTCCCTCCCTGGGTAAAAGTCATGTTGATGCAATTTGTGAGTGGTGTTCACAGCTGCTTCTGAGTCTCTGTCATGATTTCATAAGGAACAGTAAGTCAAAAATGTAAGAATGGGCAAATCTTACTCAGCCATGCGAGGCACATCTGCAGTGCTGTGCCAGTCCTGGGCTCCTCAGCACAGGAGGGACAGGGAGCTCCTGGAGTGGGGCCAGTGGAGGATGCAGAGATGATTTAGGGCCTGGAGCATTCCCTGGCAGGGAAAGGCTGAGGAAGCTGGAGCTGTCCAGCCTCCAGAGGAGCCCCAGCTGAGAGGGGCCCTCAGCCCTGGGTGTCCCTGTGTGCAGGGAGGGCTCCGAGCAGGGCCCAGGCTCTGGGTGGCCCAGCAATGGCACCAGAGGAACGGGCAGGGACTGATCCCAGGAGGTTCCACCAGGGCAGGAGGCAGAACTTCTGTCCTGGGCAGTGACCAAGGACTGAACAGATTGTCCAGAGAAGGTGTGGAGTCTCCTCACTGAGGATATTCCAGAACCATCTGGACACAATCCTGTGCCCTGTGCTCTGGGATGGCCCTGTGGAACAGGGAGGTGGGACAAGATGACGCACTGGTCCCTTTCAGCCTTATGCTTTTTTCTGGGATTCCTCGATCTTCCCCAGCATATCTAAGTCAGGAAAAGGGATGCATTCAGGACAACAAAGTGAAGAGAGCCTCACAGACCCCAGAAGACAGAGGCATAAATGGAACTCTGCAGGAACTTAGAATGCTGTGGTGCTTCTCTGTATTGAAAATACGCCGCAATTAGCCAGTTTTCAGGAAGAATTTCTTCACAGAAAGGGTGATTGTGTCAGAACCCAGGACATCCCTCTGGGTGCCCTGGATGGCTCAAAACCCTGGTAGGGGCTTCAAGATCCTGGCAGGGGCTCAGAGACCCTGGCAGGAAGCCAAAGACACTTGGGATTTCAGTCTTAACGCATGGAGCAAATTACCAACCTTCTATGAAGAATTACAAGTCACAAAAGTTTAAGTGGCATAACAGTAGTTGTCACAGGGTGAAAAGTAGAATTTTGGGATTTTTAGAACAGGGGTTTGGAGTGCCAAGATGGAGGAATTTGGGACGTTCCCTGTCTTTCTTCCTTCTTCTTTCTAGCCTCCATCTTCTTGGTGATGGTGGCACATTTAGATTGGTCTAGAGTAGAAGTAGACAGTCTAACATAGGTGATAGGTATTGGAAAATAGCAGTAAATAAAGTTCACGTAGTTTTCAGTATAAAGAGATAGCACTGCCTCAGGGCAGTGCAGTGTGCCCTTGACAGGCCTGCAGATCAGACCTCTGCGGGTGTGAGAGAAAATATTTTAGATAACAGATAATAAACAACCTTGTGAACACAAGCCAAAGAATCCCGACTCTTTCTTCGGCCATCGGGCTGGGAAAAAAGGACTCTCGGGTCATCTGGACAGCAGGAAACTCGAGAATTGGAGGCACTTCTGGGATCTGGTCAGAGAAGGATCCAGCCAGAGACCCAGACCACTGAACAGCCCGGGAAGAGGCACACCACCGAGGAAAAATTCCAGAGCAGACAACTTGACCTCTGCCAAGCCAACTTGCTTCAACATTGACCTGGAAGGAGGACGACCAATGGGCCCTGGACATTCTGCACCAGTGAGCTGCTGGCCGGTTCTCAGGTTTTCTTGCTTGCAGGATGACCCGAGAGTCCTTTTTATCCAACCTGGTGGTTGAAGAAAGAGTCAGGATTCTTTGGCTCATGTTCACAAGGTTGTTTATCATCTATTATCCAAAATATTTTCTCTCAGACCCACAGAGGTCTAATCTGCAGGCCTGTCAAGGGCACACTGCCTACC